CTGGTCACAGTTGATTGGTGGAGGGGTGGGCACTTTTCTTTCCTGGGAATTAACTGTCTTTGAGACAAGGAATTCCAAATCGATGAGGCTCATTCTTTAGTGGAGGTGATGTTAACTGGAGAGTTATCAGTAATGTCCAATTCCAACTCTGTGAACTGGGAAACAGAGATAGCTAGTCTATGGGATCAGCAAAGAATGAAGCAGATGCATAGAGAAGCAGGAGCCAGAGGAAAAAAGAGAGGACTTGGTTCCTTGTAATGCTCCAGTCCTGCACTCAGTCCCCTCCTGAAAATGGGCTGCAGCCTTTCCTTATCTCATGGGAGCTATCCCTAGGTTCTTAAAACAAAACAAAACAATACAAAACAAAACAAAACAAAGCAAAACAAAACAATCCTCTGATGTTAGTTGAAATAGATTTCCTTTACTCGCAACCTAAAGTGTTCTAACTCACTTGGACACAGTCCTTATATCTAAGCTCATGGTCTAATAGGGGAAACAGGCTCACAAACGAGTCACTTAACACACTGCAAGATGTTATAAGGGACCACAGCAAGAGAACAAGATGCAGCTGGGGAAGGTGTCACCCCAAAAGTAACATTTTGAGGTGGGTCTTAGGAGAACAAAGGGGCTTTTCCAGAAAGAGAAGGAAGGGAGGACATTTGCAGGCAAAGGTAAATACAAGCACAAAGTATGAAAAAGAGTGTCCCATCGAGGAATTAACAAGTAGATTGATTACTAGATAAAAGGATCTATTGGGATCTTTCAGGGTCTCAATTTACTTTTAATTCTAAGCTTCCTTAGGAATCTATAGGACAAAGTGGTAGGGGGTCAAACAGTGTCCTTGGAATAAGGAGACTTGGCTCTTGTCCCAACCCTGAATTGGATTAACTGTATCCCTTTAGGTAATTTGTATCAGTTCTTTGGGAACTGGTTCCTTCATTTAGAAAAGGAGAAGATGGATACATTATCTCTAGGTCCCTTTCAGCTCAAAATTCTGCAATTCTGTAACAAATCAAATACAAAACTTTGTCACTGCTGACAAAGCATTTCTACTAGATTTGACTAGGGCAATGATTTAATTTAGATATGTTTCCTTTCCTGTCAAAACAGTGTGATACGATATATGCTACATCAAGGAAGTCCTGGCCCAAAGACTTACTTATACATAAACTAGAGAATTATGAAAGTGAATTTCAGTAACTAGCATCATCCCTGAGGCCAACATTGTTAGTCCTTCCATGCTTTACTTTGTTCACCTGTGCAATGGGCCCAAAGAAATTTATCATATATCTGGGTATTGCAAAGACCATGAATGGCTGAGTTCCTCGGAGGAAAAAAATTATTCCTGTTTGACTATGAAAAACAAAAACTATTTCCCACGAGGATGTCTCTAAGAATGCTTTTAGAAAAATTGTAGCTATTTAAAAATATCATAGAAGGTGGTAATAGGAATGGCAGATTTGCCAAAAAATCACAGGCTTCCAAGCACAGTCTATTTCTTTCATGTGTATCTCTTGTATTCCCTTCTAACTTGTCTTTGGATATCAGAAAAGGGGATTCTTATTCTTTTTCACTACACACTTGTGCTGATCTTTTGACAGCTTGGTCTTTGAGGTTTTCTCTGTTTATATCCAAGGACAAATCCTCCATGGAAACAAGTGACACACATGTTGTTTGCTGGACACAACTGTTACCAGGCATGGTGTAACTGCTATGTGGAACGCGCTCCTAGCCAAGAGAATGGGGGTTGTAGGCATAGGTGAGGTTGAATAATAAATAACTAATTACAATCACAATGCGTAAGAGGATGATAGAAAAAGGATGTCACATTTCTGTGACTATTGTGTGCCTAGCTTTATGTTTACTATGTTCTTGGGAGACCTCTCTCAAAATACATAGATGCTAATATTTGAGTTTCACTGTTGGTAAGGTAATATTTTTCTTAATGATCATAACCAAGAAATTGACTAGTATCCTATGATTTATAGTGAAATGGCCTGGTACACAAATCCTTTTCTTACCGGCAGTGTCCCTTTCGAAGGTGATTGTCCACACAAATTGTTTAATCCTCAGATAACTGAACTGTTAAGTGTGCCACAATGTCCTGTCTCCACTATGCCAGGTAATTAAGCCACAAGTGTGAAAACATCATAGTCTGTCATACTTAAAGTTTTTTCAAAGCATATTTGTGTGTTATTACTTATTGTTATTAATAAAATTATTATTTTTATCAGAGTGAATCTTACCAGGCTAGTCTTTTGGTTAGTGTTAGTAGCAGAGATTATCCGTAAGTATAACTAGCTTTGATAATATGGACAAAAACTAACAGAATTAGAAGAAAGCAGTTGAGAATTTAAGAGATTAAAGTTAGACCAGATAAATACAAGTATGACAAATTGGTAAGTGGCAAACCTCACAAATGTGGTTTCTACCAGAGTTATCAAAGTATGGAAAGATACAAAATCTAACAGAGTTTAGATAAACAATGGGTAATATTCATAGAAGACAACAATTCTAAGAGTGTTAGAAGTGAATACAAGGTCTCATCAAAGAAAAAAATTTTATGCTTACATTTATGTTATGATATAATCCATAGATAACAAATACTCTTATCTACCTGTGCTTGGTTGGAACAAACAGCACTTTAAAAATCTGTATGAAAGTTTTAGAGATTTGTTTTATATGGTTTTATTTGGTTTTAGTTTCCTAATGCTGAACGGCTGATGTTATAAGTTTGGAAAGGTTTCTGGGAAGATGTTAAAAGTGACAATCCTACAATTGGGAAAGAAGGAGACCTATACTGTGCCAGACATTATACACTGCACATTTTCATATACATTAGTTTATTAAGTTCAGATAGTTTAAGTGCCAACAATAACCTAGTCAGTAAGCAATGGGATCATAATTCTGAATCTAAGTCCAGCTGACTTCCCTTACACTTGGGAGGAGATGACAATTCTTAATGAAGGGCTTCTGAATCAGTATTCATAGTTATTCTACTATATCATAATGAATTTTAAAAATCTACCTTTTAATGTTGGTGATATATACATTTATAAATTCCCAATAGCTCTACTCCCCCATCTCCCACCATTCCTAATGCTCTACCCAAAACTAGCAGGGTTCCCACAGCCTGGGATAGAAGCCAGTCAATGTTCATTATCCATTTCATACAGACAATGGCACGCAGAAAAAACAAAGTGTAGACAGCAGAACCAGGACAGCAAGTAAGGAGAAACTTCTGAAAAACCCAAAGAACTTTAACAATTTGTTGCCACTTGAGGTATTACACTCTCTTTGTTGAAAAGAAATTGTCAGGAAAACAAGAGAAGGGACTCCTGTATTGGTAGAAGTTTGACTTAACAGCCACTTGCCATAAGATACTTGCCAACTCAGTGAATTAAGGAAAGAGGTTAGTCACTATGAGAGATTATAAGAGCACAACACTTTCCAATTTTGAGCTTCCTCCTCCACCATTTTCCCTACTGGCCGCCTTATTGCCCACCCAAAGTCATCAGTACACAACTGCTGAGCAGCATTGAACTTAAGACAGGATAGGTCTGTAGATCACAGGTCACTGCTGATATTTCCTTATATTGCAAACAATATCCAAGTTCAACAAGCTGTAGTCATAATAATTATGATGCCTCAGGCACTGATATAAATGTCAGATGAAACAAAAATGAGCCTTCCAGGGTTCATGATCTAGTAAGCGAGACAGACATGAATAACCAGCGGAAAGATAGCATGTTTTCATAGGGCTTAAATGGGGAAGGCACTAAAATCTTAATTCTCATCCTGTATCTACAAAACTGCTTCATGCCAGGAATGCCAATGGTGCCAAGGCGCAGTTTTTTTCTCTATGCAATGCTCATGATGATGATGACTTCCTTTGCTGAATTACTTGTGTTGCATAAATACACCCACATTATTCAATATAGTGTTTTCTGTGGTCTTCATCAAGAGGAAAGAATTTGGTCTCAGGTGAAAAAATGGAAGAGAAGGAAACTATCAAATATAGTTTTAGAAATAATAGTTCAAATATTTCCTGAATAGTTTTTCAATATTCAATTAAAATTTAAAGTCCTTATGGATCATTTTAGAACTGCAAGTATATTTGTTAAACCCCTTTGTTGCACAGATGATAAATCTGAGACCCAGAAAAATCAAGAGTATTGCTAAAGGCCACCCAGCTAATGAGTGGCTGAGCCAGGCTTGGTTTGATTCAGACCTTCTGATGCTGCCCCAGTGTCCAGATGTCTAATTTCTTGTCTCAGGATACTGGGATTGGCTTGCTTTGCCAGATTCAAAGTGGAAAAATGAGTATGGCAACAAATGTTTACATTAGTATTTTTGTGTCCTCTTAGCTTCATTTTATTTATTTATTTATTATTATTATTTTTAAAGATTTTATTTATTTATTTGAGAGAGAGAATGAGAGAAAGAGAGAGAGAGCACATGAGAGGGGGGAGGGTCAGAGGGAGAAGCAGACTCCCTGCCGAGCTGGGAGCCTGATGCGGGACTCAATCCCGGGACTCCAGGATCATGACCTGAGCCGAAGGCAGTCGCTTAACCAACTGAGCCACCCAGGCACCCTCTTAGCTTCATTTTAAAATTCATTTTTGTTCATGTAACACATTGAGAACTGAGTAATGTGTGATACAGCTAGAAAACAGTCATTAAGTGCTACTATATTTAAACACATCTCTATAGAATTTTGTTAGTGAATGTGTAATCATGTACCTAACAGTTGTTAGCAAAATAAGGAAAAAAAGATTAATTTAATCCTATATTATATACACAATTCTCTGAGGTTATCCAGACTTATTTCCATCACTATAAATATATTCATATAGATTATCATGTATTCATAAATTGAATTTCTTAATCCTTCCAGGTAGAAGTCAATAAAGGAGTAATTTGAAGTCTAAATCATGACATCTCTAGACTATAACATAATGAATAAGATAATGAATAAATATACATATAATATGTCCTACCTTCATCCCTTATTTTGATTGGTTTGTTCTTGATCATACTTCAGTGAATTTGCTGGTTCCCCAAATCCAAATGGAAAATTTCTTATTCTGGGTCTATTTTCTTTGAGCAGCTGTGGTAAACCTTTCTCCTGAAGCACAAAACACACATAAGACAACCTAAATATTAGTGATGTACTCCCAGTAAGCAAATTCCCCAAAGCTTAGGTGTAACTCCACCCGTTTTCTCACATTCAAGAAAGCATATCTGCATGAAAGTTGTATTTTTAAGTAGTAAATTAAACTATCATCTATCCATTGATCAGTTGATCAACTGAACTATCGTTAAATTCAGAAGAAATGGAGACCACCCTTGAAAATTCATTGAACAAACAAAACCAGTTTAATCATACAAAGCTTGATTTAGCTTATTTTGCAAGACTAACTTCACCTGAGTCATTTCTTGCTTATGCTTCTGAAAATCATAAGCAAAACTTAAGCTGTTTCCCAAGGTTGATATGAGGTAACCACTGATGAATTCGCTATCATTTAAGAAAATTCTGATATAATGACCAATTACTGTAAAGAATATGCAGTTATTGGTTCCTCGCTATGAGTGGCTTTGTAACAATATACCCCTGGGCCTCCTTCCATATTTTGGTTCGAGTGCTCCAGTTTTGCAATAATAATAATAATAAGCCTTTACTAATCACACCTTCAGTATTTCATTGGTTTTACATCGGCTATTTATGAACTTTTGACTATCTATCTATCTGTCTACCTATCTAATGTCCATCCATCTATCCATCTACCCACCCCCCCCATGTCTCTCTCTTTCTCTATCATTTTCAAACATAAGCTTATCAGTGATTCTCAGTGCCTTGCTTCAGAAGTGATTAGCTATATCAAGGTATCAACAACATTGGTTGGGATTACTTCAATCTCAGAGGGACGGAATACAGATATGCCTGAAGTGCAGTGGGTTAGTCACTGAAGTAAACATGTCACCTTCTGATGGTCAGCTCTACCAGCAATGTTTGTATTATCTGGCATTGCCTGTCCTAGAGGTCACAGAGCATGTGAAGACATTTGATAAACTATCATTTTTTGTCTCTGTGTATTTTTAAATCTATATGTGTAGATTGATGTTCAAAATGTTTTAGGGTAACACTTCTATTGATTAATCTGAAGAGTGTGTGTGTGTGGTGGGGGTAATGACAAATATCATCACTTCATTTTATTTTCTTATTGACTCAAAGACTCTTGAGTCCCTGGGAATGTTGCAGATCACACTAAGGCACACTTGTACAGAGTTAGTGGGACGGTCTTTGCCATTAGACTGAGTGGGAGTTCCAACTCGGTCACCTCCCAGCAGTGTAACATTAGCCAGGTCATCCCTTTGGTATCTACTTTCTTATTAGGAAAATGAGGACGAGTATTATGAGGACTGAATGAAATAATGTGTATGAAGTACTTCCCAAATTCCTGGCACATAGTATGCACTTTATAACAACAACAACAACAACAGTAATATAATTCTAAAAACTCATACCAGGATGCAATCAGCAAGAGAGCCAAACAATTATTTCAGATTTTTCCCTATTTTAGTCTCCACAAAAGGTGAGAAGTTCAAAGTGCAGGGTGCTACAGACCTCATGCCTGACTTTATAAAGAGACTGCCACGTAAATTCCAAAAGAAATTCCAAAGGATGTTCTTCTAAAAGCAAACTAGCTTCTGCAGGTCACATCTGAGGAAGAAATTCCCCTTTCTATAATACTGCTTTGTTATATTGATTGCTTTTACTAACTTAACCTTTTTGAGTCTGTTACTCTTTCATAAATGTTGTTAGTGTTTGGTGTACTAGATGTTAAATGGATGGTACAGTATATTGATTCCGAATCTAATTTTGGTTTCCAGGGTATTGAGGATAACTGAATCTGACATTTAGAGCATTTAGATACTGCATGAGAATTTTCTAAAATATTTTTGCCTGAAAAAAAGACATTATAAGCACATTTAAAGAATTCCTAGTAAAAATTAATTCTATGCAATTTTTGTTATTGAAGATATCATTAGGCAGCATTGAAGAACTAAATTTATTCCAATAATCATACAATGATGAAAAAATTCCTTGCTTCAATAATTGATTTATGCTTCATTTAAATGGACAGAGTAGTTCCAATATAATTTCTTATTAACTCTAATGACGAATTTTAAAGTAGCATGACTCTGAAATAAAGATGAAAATCCTCCATACAACTTATTGCATTTAAATGGATTTAATATTTAATATTTAAAAAATCATTTGATGTAAATAGCCATCATGAATCACTGCAAATATACTAAGATGTAATTAAATGCCTTTTTCTTTTTAAACGCATCTACTCATTTCATAATAAATTATTTTTGTACTCTTTCTTCCTTTAAGCTGTGGTATTACTTTTGAAATTTTTAATTATGAAATCACATCAATGCTAAAATTTAGTAAATTTCTAAAAATATGCCGTCTTAGGCAAATTCAAAATAATTGAATTATTGCTTACCATTTGCTTTTATCTTGAAATTGTTTAAACCATGTTAGTGAACACTCAAATTTCTAAGACAGAAATCTGTCTTTTCCTCTTTGGAGGGGGGCAAGATTCTGTACTTACAAAGCTTTCACTGGATAAATTGTGCAGAAAACTATTCTGTGACCTTGCTCTGTACTTGAAATTTTCTGGTGTGACAATACATGTCATCAGCTGGAAGTACAGACAAGATTAATACAGTTCCCATTGGCTGGATCCAGAAATCAGGCACTTAAAGGAGTTCAGTGGTTGGAGCAGCTGCGTAGGAGTTCTGGGGTCTGTCCTGAGGCACCATGAAATTAGGAGGTCATGTGGAATTATTTCAGGTGTGGTCCCCATCAGAAGTGTGGGCAGTGTGGGCTGTTAGCAGATTCCCTTTGGCCCTTAAGAATGCTACCAATCACACACACACACACACACACACACACACCCCAACAACTAGGAACAGATTAGAATCCCGAGACATTCTCTAATCCATACTCCACAAAGAATAAATGTATTTTGAACACACTACAAGTCATCAGGAGAGCAGCATCCCTGACTGAGTTCAGGCAGTTCCTGAAGAACCCAGGACTAGGCTCTGTGTACTTCGTATGCAGCAAAGAGAGTCTTGAAAAGGAGTTAAAGACCTTGTTTAGGTTCAGTTAGTCACTTGAGAGTGAGTCACCTTTTAAGATTTCAGTTTTCTCATCTGTTACATAAGAATGCTTTCATAGGGGCACCTGTGTGGCTCAGTGGGTTAAGTGTCCCTGACCCTTGGTTTCAGCTCAGGTCATGATCTCAGGGTCCTGGGATTGAGCCCCGAGATGGGCTCCCAGCTCAGCTGGGAGTCTGCTTCTCTCCCTCTTCCTTCCCAACCCCCCCCCCACACTCTCTCTCTCTCTCAATAAATGAATAAATAAATCCTTAAAAAAATGCTTTCATAGGGGAGCCTGGGTAATTCAGTCGTTAAGCGTCTGCCTTCGGCTCTGGGCATGATCCCAGCATCCTGGGAGCCTGCTTCTCCCTCTCCCACTCCCCCTGCTTGTGTTCTCTCTCTAGCTGTGTCTCTCTCTGTCAAATAAATAAAAAAATAAAATCTTTAAAAAAATGCTTTCATAGAAAGGCCAAATAATGCTGGTTAAAATCCGGACGGCTATATTATTATATCATCTAAACTAGGACACTTTGAGACTGAAGGAGGGTGTACTGATGAATATACTGGGGCAATAGGCGTAAACCAGGACTGTCTTGGCACACAGAGGCATATGTTCACTCAAAGTATAGTACTTTTAAAACTAGAAAGCACTGTTCAACTATAAGATACGGTAATGGTAGTGGTAATGGGATCTGAAGCCTAGCTTCCAAACCCAATTTGACAAGGTACAGCAAGCTTTCTGTGTCATCATGGGAGGGAAATGCAGCCTGCACCATTTGTGAAGTTTACAGTGATTTAGGTTGGAGTACATGTATTCACAAAGTGGGTATTTCTGGAAAAGAATTTCTTAACTAAGCTTAAAAAATTTTTTGAAATAGCTTTATGTCTCAAAGTCTTATAGAATAGTTGTTTAAAGATTAATCTATACCGTTTCTAAAGTAATAATAAGCAGAGTTCCTTTCTCAATTTTTCCCTTCTTTAAACCAGCCTTTCAAATAATGTAATCAGAAATGATGGATGAGGATATCTTTGTATTTTCCCAGTTTAATAGAGCACATAGAGAAAAAAAGGTTGTATGCTATTTTTCAAGGTTATTATCATAGTTATTATTAATTTTTGCCAAGAAAATGAATCTACTGAGTTGTATAATCTTGATGTTTACTTAGAGAAAATAATTTTTCATTACCAAACTATCTTTCTTCTGTGTCTCTGTTGTGCTTGGAGAAGAGAGAATAAAGAGGATAAAAATGCTATATTTTTGCAATTGCTTGATAAATTCCAGAAACATAATTTTTTTATATAATTCCAGAAATGGAAGGCATTATTTATTGAAGTTTGTAGTATTTAATCAACATTGTGCAATGTGAAAAAATTCAGATCAGCTACAGTAAATTTGGCTTTTTTTTTTTAACAAAGCTATTATAAAAGATTTATTCTTTTATGTCATTTTAGTATTAAACTAAAATGTTAGAATCAGTGCTGTCAGGAAATTTTTCTAAATGGGTTAACTGGCTTTAGGACCTGTATTCCTAAGAATCCATAGGCAGCCTAAATTTAGGATTATCTATTTGACATAAGAAATATACTAGTTTCTTATCACATACAGCCGGATGATGTCAACTGGAATAAATGCCTTAGCATATACTGAGTAAAGACTAATAAGAACAAATTACATTTCCAAATACAAGAGAGATGACATTCGTCTTCTGGATCCCAAAAGGCACAAATTTAATAACAGTTTTGGCATTACAGACTTCTTTTTACTATAAAAGTTAAAAATCATTTAAAATAATATACAATGGAAAGACTATGTTTAAAATTCAAGAAACTCTGCTAATTTCTAGAACTCAATTTTTCTTTTGATGCACATGTATAAAAATTCTCCCTTGACTATATCTAAAAACAAGACTACAGGCATCAAGAATTGTGACCTGAATCACATAAACA